TCAATTCCCGGGACCCACTCGACGGGAACAGAAAAAGGGTTTCAAAAGTTTTCTCTGACCTCCACATGCATGGTGTTCCACTTGCATGCCTGCACTCATGCACACATATCATACACACACACACACACACACACACACACACACACACACACACAGAGACACTAATCATAAATAAATAAAACTTTAAGAAGCCTTAGCATAAGCCGGGCGGTGGTGGCGCACGCCTTTAATCCCAGCACTCGGGAGGCAGAGCCAGGCGGATCTCTGTGAGTTCGAGGCCAGCCTGGACTACCAAGTGAGTCCCAGGAAAGGCGCAAAGCTACACAGAGAAAAGTCTCGAAAAACCAAAAAAAAAAAAAAAAAAAAGAAGCCTTAGCATCACAATAATTGGACTATCTCCCTCAGATGTTGACATGCTCTGTATGTCTTCAATTCTATATCGTCGGCTTTTGTGCCCCTTAATATTGAGAGGGGCCCATGGATCGTTTCATATTGTAACTAGAGTCTGAATGCACTAATACTCTCCCTGTTTGCACAGATTTTCAACCACACAGGGTAAGTAACCCAGTAGCCCAGCATGCTGGGAAGTGTGGCCTGGCCAAGGGATTCCCCCTTCTCTGTGTGTCCCGAGAAGGGCTGAGATTTTTGTGTTGGAGTGGAGGTGAGGGAGACTTGAACCACAAACATTATACATGAGTTGTGTTCTAAGAGAAAAATTGACAAGATTGAACACAGAAGTAGATACACAATCTCACATTTGAGATGTGTTTGATGGCCAAGGTGACAAAGTGAGAATCATTTCAAGTATTCAAAGGCCGTCAGGGACACAAACTAGGACTCATATTCAAGGTGAGAAAAATCTCCTCCGCAGTTTTTAGTTTCTTTTAAATGAGCTCACTTAGAACATTTTGGTGGTTCTGTGGCGTAGATCTCGGGCTCGCTAAAAGCAGAAGAAATCATGGTTTTACCAGGTCCAAACCAGCAAGTTTTCTGGTCGTGGCTATGAGTCACAAGTGGAATGTCCTGTGGTTGACATTTTGCACTGAAAACAGAATCAAGAGTGGCAAGACACCAGCTGGTTTCCATGGTGACTGGTATTTGTGTTCTTTGAAAAATGACTGTTACTTTCTGTGTGGTGAGTTTACTCGGGGATGAATTGTGGAGGTGACATTAGCCATCTGTGTGAATATAAACAAAAAAAATGTGATTTAATTAAATGTAAATCTTAAAAAGACATAAAACTGAGGGCATGGGGTGGGTTTCCCCCCTCTCTATTATAGAAGTATCGTTGTGCACTAATTAGTTTGTTAATTTATCTGACATTTTATTTAAGCATTTTCAAATATGTCCACCGGATATTTATTGTAATGTATCTTTCCCTTCTTCCCAGAGGATAAAGACATTTAATTATCATTCATCAGTGTTTCCACAAACCCATCCTCCTTAGCCACCTACTGGCCCAGTCCCACTCACGGTGTGCTATTTTCAGACCACTGGCGTCTGGCATTTAGGGCTTCTTCTTTAGTGAAAGAATCCCATTAGAAAGAAGAAAAATTACCCTCCACATCATGTAAAAGGTCACAGCTCTTAACTTCATTGAGCTATGGAGAAAAACAATGCTCTGTGGTGTATTATACTATATAATGACCCAGTATGGAATCACAGTATGTTCCTCAGCTTGCTGCTATCCAGTGCTTAACTAAAATTCACCAGGTTGAGGGTGCAATGGTCATAAAGGTGCTTACCTTGAGTTTTGCAGGTTATAGATGAAGTAATTTCAGCTTTGGTCACTAAACCACAATCCAAAGTTAGAATCTCTTGGGTTTAAAGACTCTAAGCTGAAAGACTTGCCTATTATGTTAATATTTGGAGAGAGTGTATTTATTTTTGTATTTAGTTTCAAAGTAGACACCATGCAAAAAAAAATTGATGAAAACTCTGAAACTGAGAAAAATATTCTTCAATGAGACAGGAACTCAGGAGCACTCTCAGTGCAGCCTGGGAGCACTCCCAGTACAGCCTGCCTTCCTCTTGCCCCCACCTCCAGCTTGCAGAAGGTGATAGAGCCTGGGACTTGAGGTGAAGGAATCTGGCTCTTGTTTCTTCTTTTCTGATTTTCTTGTGTTTGTTTGTTTGTTTGTTTGTTTTTTCTTTCTTTCTTTCTTTCTTTTTTTTTTTTTTTTTTTTTTTGGTTTTTCGAGACAGGGTTTCTCTGTGTAGCTTTGCGCCTTTCCTGGGACTCACTTGGTAGTCCAGGCTGGCCTCGAACTCACAGAGATCCGCCTGGCTCTGCCTCCCGAGTGCTGGGATTAAAGGCGTGCGCCACCACGCCCGGTTTTAAATCTCTGCAAACTTTCCCCACATCTAATAAACATGATAACCAACTGGCTGAGAATTTGATGGGGTGGACCAACATTCAGAAATCATGATTTATTAGGAGCTTGGACAAGACAACACCTAGGTCCCCACTCTACAGAATGACCACAAAGTGATTCAAACCCTTTACTGTAGAAAATTATTAGACTGATATTTACAATTGTATGATTCAAATTCTTATCTAACTATACAGAAGTAGTAGTAGAGATTAAGTCCTTAAAATAAATGCATTTGTGGAAGAAACTCAAGTGTCCATTCACTGGATATGTACTGGATTCGACCCTCATAATGCTCTGCTTTTAACAATGAAGGAAAGGAAATCCAGGAATGGCCTGTTCACTAAGGAAATTCACAATCAGTAGGGGTAAGAGGATGCTGTGCTCATCACTAGGAAGGCAGGCAATGTGACTGCCTGCATAGAAGGCCAAGTGAAGAGCTACGATTTCACCAGGTGGGTGGCTCACCCCTGTAAACCTACCACATAAGAAGCTGAGGCAGGTGAATTGCTACAAATTTAAGCCATCTTAGGCTGCATAGTGAATTTCAAGCCTTCCTGGGCTACAAAGTAAGGCCCTGTCCCAATAAATAAATAAATAAACAAACAAACAAACAAACAAATAAATAAAGCAAAAACCCAAAGGGAGATGATTCATTCAAAAGTGAAAAAAAAATTCACATCTAATCATTGATATTAGGAAAGCTTCCACTGAAGTACTTCGTAAAATTTGGCTATAAAGTTTTTATAGCTGAGTCAGTGTGTTTAAAGCACATATATCACATTTTAGTAAATAAAAGTAACTTCGTCAATTTGAAAGTCATTGAGTCCATATTACGCATGTACTCACAGATGCACCAAGTGTACAGCCACTGAAAAAGCAACCAGGGAAGGTTGAAGATACACCTCAGTGACAGGGTGCTTGCCAGCACACGAAACAGGCCAATCACCACAGGGGAAAAGAGCCTGGAAAGAATAAGAATAATCAGGCATGGCGGCCTTTAATCTCAGGACCCAGGATGCAGAGGCAAGTGGACCTCTGAGTTCAAGGCCAGCCTGGTCTACAGAATGAGTTTCAGGACAGCCAGAGATACATAGAGAGACTCAGGGGGGCGGAAAGAAAAACAGCAACCAAGAATAATCAGGGAAGTCCATGTGCATATTTTCAGATATGTTCCATTTTGTTATCACATGCAGCTCGTTCTAAGGGTAACTAAAACAAAGTGATGAATGTGGACTTCACAGGGATGAAGGGGAAATCTAATGGCCTGTCACATGAGGAGGGGACATTTTGAGGATGACATTCTTTTTCCTAAGTGAAAAGAGAAAAAAATGGGTTTTCTTATTTTAAATTGGATGCCTGTTTATCTATCTCTCTCTATATAAGGATATGGTTATTAAATGAGACATTAAAAAGGCTATAGAAATATGTCCATGGAATGATGGGCAATGACCTGAGCGGAAAGATTCCAAGGGAAGAAATGTAAATGTCCATTAGACACGCAAGGGGGAAATCCCTGAAAGCTTCAGTCTTACAATACTCAACCTAACACATGACAATAACTGCAAAAGCACACTTTTTCATTCTTAGTATTAGCATTTCCAATTTTATGTTTTTATGGGTTGTGTGTGTGTGTGTGTTTCTCGTGTACTTTTTTCCCTGTTTGTCTGTTTTAATTTGGTTCACTTGTTTATGATTGGCCTATTTTCTAAAGAGAGAAAGAAAAAGCTTGGAGTTGGATGGGTGGGAAGGTGAGGAGGATAAGGGAGGAGATGAAGGAGGGGATATATCAATCAGAATATATTGTATGAGAAATTTATTTTTAAGAAAAAAAGTAGAATATTTAGAAAAGAAAAAAATAAAAATGTAATAGCAGTCAAATTTAACAAACTTGCATAAAAACATGTCTATAAAGTGCTAGTATGATTTTAGTTTGGCACAGACTTTCTGCTAAGAAATTTAATAATATTACACAACAACAAAGTGTACTTTTTTGGAATATTTATTGGAAATTTTAACAGAAACCTTTAAAGTATCAGATATTTAGACGCCAAAAATCAGAAGCCATTGTCAGTGAACAGCAGAACTACAATGAAAACATAGTACATCATTGACATGTTTTGCTGCTGGTTAAAGTGCTCACTTGGTGCTGGGGATGTAGTTTACTTGGTACAGGGCTTGCCTGGCACACACAAAGCCCTAGGTTTGATTCCAGCACTGTGTAAATCTAGCTTAGTCCTGCACACCTGTCATCCCAGACTTGGAGAGATATTTTCAGGAGAATCAGAAGTTTCATTTTTGGCTACACAGCTAATTCAAGATCAACCTAGTGTCCTATTCTGGATTTTTAATTTGGACTTGATAGGTTAATATAAAACCAAAATTAGTGGTTTAATTTTCACATTTATTGAGTTTAGTAATCCAATCCTTCTCTCAAACACTCTCTATGTAATTAATTTTTAAGTCTTATAATATCCCATGAGAGCAGATTTACCTTTAACTTTAGAACCAGTGTGCATCTATATAGCTAAGCTAGTCCTTCTCCTTGAAAAGAAACAAAGAAACAAAAACAACAACAACAAAATATGTGCAGTGTTTTTACTTTGTGAAATTTCTCTTTAATTTCAGCTCTATGATGGACCACAAAAGATAGGACGATACTGTGGAAGAGATATCCCCCCATCAGGGGCCACCACAGGCTCCAAGCTTCATGTACTGTTCTATACAGATTCGATTCTTTCACATGACAAAGGATTTAGGATGCAGTGGTTCATTCATGGTAAGTCCCGTTTTGGTATCTGTTGTATTAATAATTGTTATTTGGCCGGTTCTATCCTTGGAAACAGTAGCATCAACAAATAATAAAAGCAAAGTAGTAGCTAGAGCTAGGCTTAAGATGACTTAATGAGACATCTGTGGAATTTGGGGAGTTAAATTTTGCTAGTGTTCTGAGAAGAAATGGTTAGAGTGGAAGCGATTCAGGTTAACTGCCTGAGCAGGTGATGTGATAATCTGCCTTGGAATAGACACATTACAAAGTGGCATGGGAGTCTCCCAGGTGTAGTAGACCAGAAAGAGATGTAAGGCTCACCTTGACATTCATCAGAGAAAGAATGATTGGGAGGATATAAAGAACAGGAGTCAGAAAGGTCAGCGAAAGGGGAAAGGAAATGCTGGGATGAGAGAAACAGCAGGTAGTTTGAGAAGGATGCAAGATCCAGGCTTATGTCTTGTATCTGCTAAATGGAGTAGGGACATACTGAAGCCCACCTACAAACAGGTAGTTGAGGAGTAGGTGGAGATAATTACTTCTCTAAAAGTCATTATTAACAAGAGATGTGAGACTTCAAAATTGAATCTCCTGTGGATCAATCTACAGGTGGGTGGTGCCAGAGCAATGGTTTTCAAAATGTGGCCCCCAGTAACAGTAGCAGCACAAGGAACTTTTCAGAAGTACAAATTCTTAGGCCCTACCCTAGACCTACTGGATCAGAAACTACGAAAGTAGGCCCAGGACAGTGTCTTAATTGATCTCCCTGGTGATGAAGATTTAAGAGCTATTGTGCTGGGATAATCCAACTTCAAAAGAGCATCAAACAGTAGTTCTTAACTATTCAACCACGATGTTAGGACTCGTGGTGAATTTCAGGAAATCAAAGAGAGGTAGAATTGCAATGCTATACCAGAAATCTAGCAGATGCCTGAAAGGGCTGGTGAGATGTGCCAGTTGGTAAAGCACTTGTCTCACAAGTATGAGAATCTAGGTAAATCCCTGAACCCAAGCCAAGCCAAGTGCAATAGCATGCTCTTATAATCTGTGATGACAAGATGGGATGTGAGGGTTAGCAGAACATTGGACTTCACTGAGCAGCTGGCCTAGCCATACTTGGCAGAGTTCTAGATCAATGGGAGTAGAGACATTGTCTCAAACAGAAGGTGGAAAATCCATAAGGACCAGTGCTCACCATTGTACTCAGACCTCTACCTGCATGTGCACACAGTATACATCCCTGACATAAGCATACACATGTAAAACAAATAGAGAAATGCACAGAGAGAGAAGGAAAGAAGAGGGGGGGAATTTGTATCAGAGGTACTTCAGCAAGCACCTGAGCATTTGAGATGAGATTTATTGGTGTTGCAGCCCACCCATATAAATCTCAGAGCTGCCATACAGAACTTTCCAATTGTAGACCCCTTATTTATCAGGATGAAACCCTTTCCATTTATGATGAAATTATATCCCAATGAACCCACTGTAAATTGAAAATGTCTTGTCATTTCATGTATCTAACTTAACTATTATTATTAGCCTAACCTACTTTACACATGCTCAAAACACTTCGGTTAACTTACGGCTGGGTAATATCATCTAACATAAATCCTATTTTATAAAATAATGAAAAGTGTTGAATATGACATTAAAAATTCAAAATATGTTTTCTATTGATTGATTATAATTTTCAGTCATTTGAAAGTGAGAATTATCTCTATCTGCAAGAACTTAAGGTGCTATGATATTGTGTATTGTGGGTTGAGCATATTTTTGTTAAAATGTGAGTGTAGACTTTTCCATATTTAAGTATTTGGTGGTAATTCCACAGGGCTACTGGTAGCTTGAAATACGGACTATGAATTCTCAAAGTAAATGAGATACAGTGGTTAATCTTGTAGACCTCCTGGGTATTCTTCTTTATCAAGTGAGGTTTAAACTTACAGTGGTCACTTTATTGATTGGCTTAATAAAAGGATTTGGTTGATTTCTCTTCCCAGTGTAGTCTATTTCCAGTGTTCTGCTGTTCAGCAATATTGTGGTTCTAAGTAATCTAGAGATGGTCTGAAAAAACAGACCAGGTAGAAAAATCTTGAAGCATGCCCCAGTGTAGCTAGAGTTTTCCTGCCTGGCCCACAGTCAGGACAAATCTCTGCCACCCGCCAGTCCCACAACCGTTCAGACCTGACCAAGTAAACACAGAGACTTATATTGGTTTCAAACTGTATGGCCGTGGCAGACTTCTTGCTAACTGTTCTTACAGCTTAAATTAATCCATTTCTATTCATCTATACCTTGCCACATGGCTCGTGGCTTACCGGCATCTTCACATGCGGCTTGTCATCATGGCGGCTGGCAGTGTCTCTCTCACCCAGCTTCCTGTTCTCTCAATTCTCCTCTCTATTAGTCCCGCCTATACTTCCTGCCTGGCCACTGCCAATCAGTGATTTATTCATTGACCAATCAGCAACACATTTGACATACAGACCATCCCACAGCACCCCAGACTGTCAGTTTCTGGGGTACTCTTGAAAGCAGTGTATGCCAGGTGTGCATATCCACAGAACAACTAGGGGTTTCCTTGTGGTTGTATCTAATTTGGCAATGCTGGGGCCTCACATCTGCCAGACAAGTACTCTAACGATGAGCTATATCCTCAGCCCTCACCGGGGATCTTGTAACTATAGAGTAGTTGGGCACACTAACTGGAGTTTCCAAGACCCTCCCTATGGATGGTAATGTTACCATTCCATGTAACTCAGTTTTAGGAGCAAGGCAAAACCAGTGTTGAGCTTGGTGAAATGAAATGGTGGAAAGACAGTATCCCCAGAATCTGGAGAACACTTGTAAGATGCTCAAATCACACACTGTCCTAACCAGCAAGGATCCCTGAAGGAGACAACTTTCTGTTTCAAAGATCTAAAGAGCAGAAAGCTCCCCTGGGCACACAAGAGTTCAGTTCAGGAAGTGACTTAGGCCAAAGGCCTCAGAATGTGGTCCTCAGTCCTAGGTGCACATAGGAATTGCCTAGGAGTTTAAAACCCTGCCTGGGTTCCAAGCCCCAAGAGATAGGATTCAATTGGTCAGTGTTTGGCTATTGCTACCTTTCAATCTCTTCCTAAGCGATGCAGCCTCGCAGTCAGGATGGAAGAAAGAAGAGATGTAGGCATTGCTTTTGCTAGCTGATCTCTTTAGTCAAAAGGCTGCTCACCCTCCCTCTAGCCACACTGCCTAAAGGCCACCCTAAAGAGCTTGATGGGATGGTCATTACCCATCTTACTGTATCTTTGGGTTCTTCTAGCCAACGTGCCAAGTCCTCTGCTGAAAGCTCTGAGGTTTTGTTTTTGAGCCAAGATTTTTCTTTCACTTCTATTTGGAATCTGTCTTTTTTTAAGAGAGTCAAAGACACCCTCTGTCTATTCTCTTTTCCTGTTTACTATTGCAAAATTTTTCCCCATTTGCTGAAAATTTGCTCAACTCAGAGCCAGAGTTATGCAACAGTATGTTACTAGTTAGGACCAAACTGAAAAAATTTTTTAACTCTGTACTGCCCACTATATATAAATGGTACTTGACAAGGAGATCACCAGCAGTTTAAATCAATACAAAAGTAATTCATGTCACGTATTACTATCATGCCGTACTTCTATATCTTATTTTCTATATCTGAACTATGTAATTTGAGATGACTTGAGGGAGGAGTCAACAGAGTAAGCATCAGGCAGAACGCTTTCCCTGGGCGTGGTACCATGATTATCCATTAGAGAAAACCTGAAGACAAAAATTGTCATCTGTCATTCTTCTTTTTATTAAAGCCATGGGTATCGGGAATGTTTTCATACCAGACACCATGTTATGACTAGGGACACAGATCTATGTGCACACACTGAAATGGTCCAAATCCCACAGCCATTCCAGTAAAGGGAAGACATTAGGCATGCAAATGAACATGTGCAATCAAATCTGGTAAGTGCTGAGGGAACACAGAAGGAGATGAGATAGGATTGGGCGGGCAGGCAGGCAAGTCTTCTATAAAATTTCGACCTCTGAACTAAAACCTGAAAAATAAGCAGGTGCTACCTGGCCAAACTGGAGAAGAGAAGACACAGTGATGCAAGGAAGTAGGGGGAGGAAGGTGGCTCTAACAAGTCACAGGTGAGTAGAGTCAAGGTCAAAAGGTGAAGCCCTAGAGGAGACCAGAAAGCTGAGCAGTGACTACCACTAACTGGCTCCATAAGGCACAAACTCAAACTGGAGAGACCACAGTGTCTTACAATATGCAAATCCTTTATACTTCATAAAAACAGGTCTGGGGTAGGATCCCCAAGGATGGAGAAGCATGACAAACTGTGGGGCTTAACACGCAGGATACAATACAAACTACGAACTAAACATGGTCCTGCATCACTAACCAACAGGGGCATGTTTCGAGCACTGCAAGTGCTGGCCTTATTCATCAAGGAGAGCATCCCAGGGTGTACACACGCACACACACACACACACACACACACACACACACACACACACACTGTAATTGCTATATGGTCACCTGGCGACATAATCTCTGGGGCTACCCAGGTTTGTGTTGTCCATTCTTGACTGGAATTCATCCTGCAGGATGTGACTCTCAGTCTTCACCTGCGATACTGATACACTTACATGTGTTTGTGTGTGCACGAATGCATATAACACATCAGCGGACAAAAATCCATGACAAGTGTCTGCATTGTCCCTCTGGGCTTGTGCCCAGAGTCGGTGGAGGCTTCAGGAGTCCTAGCTTGACCTGGCCCTAAGCATCTGTTTCTCACCTGGCCAGGATGCTAAAGCTCTCTCCTCTTTTCATCAGAATCAAATCCCACAAAGCCCCTTTCCCACTGGCTCCTTTCCAGATTGTGCTATAAGAGCTCAGCCAAGGCTTGCAGAGCCCGGAACTGACAGTGACATCATTTCCTGAGCAAGGTGGCTCAGGAACCCCTACACACTTCATTCATTTTGCTCAATAATAA